CTTCCAATATCACCTTGGGAACAATTTCATTCCTCCATCCAGCAGACCCTTATTAAGTCCCAATATCCTATTCCCTCGGTGGTCTGGGGTCTGACACTGGCCAGAAGGCAGAGGACATATGGGACCAGGATGGGGATCGAAACAACCCCGGGAAAGAGGGAGCCAGTGCCCGGTCCTGGCCACATCCCCCTGTGCTCAGGACCACGATTGGATTCACCCTTAACTAGAACCTCTGGCCAAATGGGATTGCGGTAAGAGTTGGTAGGAAAAAAAAAATGGTAATAGAGAAATTTTAATTTTTTTAAATCTAAGTTCCAGGGACAGGGTAATAAACCCCAAATATCTGTGTGTTAAATAACTGGACAAACCAATGAATAATAGATTTAAATTATTCATGCTCTCCTAGCTTTCTCTCTCAACACATTCCCACCTCAGCCCCACCACCCCCTTGGGTATTAAGACAATCATGGGATTTCCCTCCTTTTTTTTTCCTGATAGAAAAAAAGTCATTCATACCCTCTAAACATTATTTTCCCCTGTGGCTCAGGAGGCTCCCCTCTTGTCTCCTCCAGCTTCCCTCCAGACACCATGAGCCGGGCTCCCAGGGCCCGTGCTCTCGCCAGCTTGCCCTGCAGCTCTGGGCCGGGCTGGGCTGTGGCCGTGGGCAGGAGGCTCCCCTCAGGGCTGGGGCCTGAGCCCAGTGGAGGAGCCCAAGAGCCTGGCCATGGAGAGGCCCCAAGAAGTGGGCGACTGTCAACATGGCCCCAGCATTCCTGTCAGATTAATTTTATAACATGATCCTCTGCTCTTCCTAGATGTGCCTAAAATGGATTAAAATGAGTTCCTTATTTTGGAGACGTTCATCTGACCATTGGAAGCCACCCAGGATGTCCAAGCCTGCCCCGAGGGGCAGTCCTCTGTTTGTTGGCTCCTTCGTGGAGCACAGGTCTGCCCACCAGGCGTCTGTGGAAGGCCTCAGTGTGAAGGCCACCCCTTCACGCAGTATCCAGACAGGCCCTGAGGCAGTCTGTGTGGCCCACCCTCAGCCCCTGACCTGCTGTGAAGCTGTGTGTGTCATTCTGAGTCACCTGGGGTCAGCCTGACCCTCCACCTCTTCTCCCCACCCCAGCCCGGAGTGCCTCCTTTTCTCTCTCTCCCCAGTGAAAGCAACAACTCCTTTCCCTTTCTCCAGGGGGATTCCTTCAGATTCTCCTCTTTCCCCCTCAATCCCTCAGGGAGTTGCTGATCTGAATGAATTCACCTTCCTCAGCAGTCCAGTCCAGACTGGCCCCTTCTGGAAGAAACGGCAGCCATTTGCTCTTTCCCCTGGGCTCCCGAGATAGTCCGATACCCAGCTGTCTCCTCTCTTGCATACAGGACATTCCCCAAGTGAACACTCAGTGGCTGAGAGAGGGTGGGCCCTCGGCCTGACCTTCGGCCCCTAAATCACTGGGAGGCCTTTCACCCTGTTCCTCCTGCGACCTCAAGGCTCAAATGTTTAACAGCGACTTAGCCTGGCCAGCCCGCCTTCCTTAGCCCACTTCTGGCAAAACCACGAAAGAGCTTGACTCTCATCGACTAAACCTGGGAAAACTTACCGAACCTTCTGATGAATATATCAAGTATAGGCAACTAGACTAAAATATCTAAACATATCTTGACAAGCATATTGGAAAGCCCTTTGCAGAGAAGGTCTCATACCGAACCCTTACCTGACTGTGGCAGAGCGTCAATAAAGGCAAAAAAGTGCTTCTCTAAATCTTCCACGTCTGAGAATGGCCGCTGGGACCAAACAGCAGCTGCAATCAGAGGACATCGCTCAATGACGTTCCCAAACACATCCACGAATTCTCCAAAGTCCATGGAGTTGACCTGCTCAATGTCCATAGCTTGCATTGAGCTGCGGGCAGCAGGACGTCCCACTTCCTGCTCTGTGAGTGAGTGACGCCGACTCTGCTCACCCGGTTATATTTGCTGAATACACGAGCTTGCTTTTTATGCAATACCACCTTAGCGTGTTTTAAATGCCTCTGGGAGAAGTGCATCCAGATACTTGTATAATGAACAAACACAGGCTTAAGGTTCTAATCCAGGGAGCAGAGATCTCTGCATGGTCAACATTTCTAACCAAACTGTTCCCTTAATCACAAACCAGCAGGAGTCATATTTTGGCCTCAGCATTTGAGCCAGATATACTTTTGATGTTATTAGCATTTTAATATCATCATTATTGCAGGGAGTTTTTCCCTGATAATTCACAGGTCAACCCGTTTGGAACTTGATTTCCCATCTCTTGTTTCTGCTGCTATAGAAGACAGGTACTATGTTTTATTCTTTTTCTGTATCCCAGATACTTAACACAATAGGAACCTAATAAATGCTCATTAAATAGGATGAGGTATCTAAAGAATAATTCCGTCCCATTCTCTATAGTCTCTCAAACATCATCATGAGTTATTGTCCTCTTGAATATATCCGTCCCTACCTAAAGTCATCTTGCTATTGTCTTTATTTATTTGTGTGTTCTGGAATCAGTCAGCTCTCAGGCCTGGGTGCCTAGAGCCTGCCACAGCATGCACACATGAAACACTGTGGATGAATTAGTTGGCCAATTGACCATATAGATTGGATTTCACATGCTAATGTCTCCCATGTATACACAAAACAAAAATAATGTGGAAGGTAAAGTCAAAGAAGGGGTCAGAATTTACAAATAAAGACATTGCCGCTATTTCTCGTTAGAATCAAAAATGAAAACATATTTCCAAAAGTCTTACCAGTTACACATTTGCTTCCATTTGAATCAAAATTCATTGAGAGAGCACAGCGGAGAGGACTTGGACTCAGGAGCCAGACCACGGGGGTTCTAATCCTGCTTCCACCACTTACTGTCTGGCATGTGGCAAGTTATTGAAATGTTCTATACCTCAGTTTCTTTACTTGTAAAACGGGGACAATAACAGTATTTGCTTCATGGAAGTTTTGCAAAGATAAAATGAATTAATACACCAAAGTGCTCAAAACAGTTCCTGTCACATAGCACCACATAGATGTTGGCTAACATAACATCCACCGTGTACCATCGCTCCATTGGACCAACACAGAACTTTTTCTTTTCTTTTTTTTTTCTTCTGCTACCAGAGTCACATCCCCTTTTTTTTTTATTGTAAAAGTTTACAATAAAAAAAGTCCAGGATCTGATGGCTTCATGGCTTAATTCTACCAAACATTTAAAGAAAAGCTAATTCCACTCCTTCTCAAACTCTTCCAAAAAATTGAAGAGGAGGGAATACATTCAAACTACTTTTATGAGACCAGCATTACCCTGATACCAAAACCAGACAAAGACACAATAAGAAAAGAAAACTACAGGCCAATATCACTGATGAACATAGATGAAAAATCCTCAATAAAATACTAGCAAATCATATTCAACATTCACTGTGATCAAGTGGGTTTGTCCTTAGGATGCAAGCTTGGTTTAACATATGCAAATGAATAAATGTGACTCACCATATTAACAGAATGAAAGACAAAAACCATACGATCATCTCAATAGATACAAAAAAAGCATTTGACAAAATTCAACACC